ATGTGTACAGACATTAAGGTTCAGATCAATGCTAGCTGTAGGGGTGTGTTAAATCACCAGCCATGTTGGCCTGGCAGGTGCCCAGAGCCTGCAGGATGAGCTGAAGCTCTCTGACGGCAGCGCCTGCCTCCTCTCCACAACACATCTCGGGCTCCATCACCAGCTCCATCAGACCCACACCTACAGACAGACAAACACAGCCTTCATTTGTCCCTGTCCTTAAAGGCGTCTCTGAATAATAGTGAAGAAGCAGCACCTGCTCTGTTAAGATCAATGAGAGTCTGGCTCCGTTCATCATCATGGAGACTCTTTCCACTGTCTTGCTCAAGCTGGATCTGTTTGATTTTCACACTCTTGGTTACCACATGGTTCCTTTTACGACCTTCAAAATGACTATAGCTTAGTGTGCCATTTACTGCAATGGGAAGCCTCTGCTGAGTAATCTGGTAACCTGCCTGAAAACACACACACAAACACAACACAAACTATTACGCAATCAACTGATGCTTATATGGACCTAAATAAATGTGTTACAGTAATATCTTTCTGTCCCTGATCAGGTTTTTTTAAACAGCAGGAGAGTGCCAGGAGAGGCTTAGAAAATGTAAAATTAATAAGGGGCTCCTATTTTACCACTTTTAAAACAAGTCTTTGGTGTATGCAGAATAATCTGTAACGTTTCAGGTCAAACTACTCATTAGATTATTTATTATACAACACTGAAAATGCCCATTTTGGAGTGAATAGAAAGTGTAGCTGTTTTTGTACCCTGTGCCTTTAAATGCAATGAGCTGGTTCTCCCTGCCCACTCTTCCCACATGCGTGTGTCTGCTTCTTCTGCATTACGTCAGATAAACAGCATCAATTAAAGACACGGATGAAGCAGACAGAGATCCATGTATTTGTATGTATTTGTGGTGGAGTTTTTTCAAGTTCACATATCATCACCTTAGAATTATAAGCTTCTATCTTGAGTTGAGTAAATGACAACTTATTTACATTATGGTATTTTATTTTTTTCAGTTCTTTACATTTTAATTTTACATTTTATTACAAAAAAAAAAAAAATGTTACACACATACTGTTTGCTTTGGAATGCAAAAACTTTGAAGCTCAAAATCTCAAAATCATTCAAAACGCAGATAAAACCTTATAATTCCAAGTTGACGAAATGTCATTACAAGGTTTGTAGTAGACACATATTTTTAACTTTGCAGTGTTTTGCACATTTACTTACGACAAATGTGACAGGATACTAGTCAATAAATACTGCAACATTATTATACTACTGTACAAAATAAAGCAGATTTAATGCCCACAAAGCGTCACTCCTGTTGTGCAGTTGGAATGTAATATATAGTTGTGCTGACACCATGCGCCTGTGGCAATTCCAGCGACTATGAATTACATAGTGATTTTACAGTCGTTTCTTTATTACAGACATGGACTGTTTTAAAATGTTTTAAACTGTGTAAAACCTATTCTTGAGGTGCATATGATCACTGAGAGTTGGAACAGATCTTTTAATCCCAGTTTCTTTGCAAATCCTGATCTGTGGACATGTTCATATCTTTTACTATGGAGACATCAAATCAGAAGGTGGGGAAAACTGCACTGCTATGTCATGTTGCAGTGGGCCTCAAAATCGGTAGGGTTTGTATACTATTTTAACATCAGGATATTTTTAAAGAGTGTTTATATTGCTCCAATATGACTGAAAAAAAAATCTGCTTTGCGCTGTGGCGCATGGTCTTACAGGTTTGAGCTTATTCTCTTAATGAGTTATAGGTGTGTTTTAAGAATAAACCAATCAGAGTCTCATTTTCCATTCCCATTTGCTATTTACATGGTGGACTTTGTAAGTTGAAAAACTGAGCGCTTTCACTAGTAAGAAAACAGTTAAACAGAATATCTACAGCGCGAGAATGAGAGATGAGCCTCCTCATTCTTTACTTTCACTTTCATGGATAGGGAAAATGTTGTGCAAACATTAGAGTTGGGGTCGAGTCCACCTTTGTCGAGTCCAAGTCAAGACCAAGTCCTTAACCAGTCGAGTACAAGTCCAAGTCCAAGTTCGAGTCCAAAAGGGGTCGAGTCAGACTTGAGTCCGAGTCCTTAACATCCGAGTCCGAGTCGAGTCCGGCCGAGTCCAGACAGTCATAAAACTCATTTATTAATTTTCTTTCGGCTTAGTCCCTTATTTATCAGGGGTCGCCACAGCGGAATGAACTGCCAACTAGTCCAGCATGTTTTAGGCAGTGGATGCCCTTCCAGCAACCCATTCACACTCTCATTCACACACACACTCACACACCACGACCATTTTAGTAAATTTAATCCCCGTATAGCGCATGTGTTTGGACTGTGGGGGAAACCAAAGCACCCGGAAGAAACCCACATCAACACGGGGAGAACATGCAAACTCCACACAGAAAAACTCCTGGCCCAGTCGGGACTCGAACCAGTGATCATCTTGCTGTGAGGTAACAGTGCTAAATAATAATAATAATAATAATAATAAAATAATAATATTAATTAATCAAATAAAGTTTTAAAATAACAATTAAACTGTTAAACTAATATTTTAAGCTTTTTATACATTTTTACAAAGTGCCTTGTATTTTTTTTTAGCTTGCTTCAAAATAAAATGAAAATAGGAGGATATATGTAGAACTTTTATTATTTTACAAGAGTCACACGTTTGACATTCTCATGCCACTTTCTCATATTTCTTCAGTTTAAATTACGCTTGCATTACCAACAATGCATTTTTATTAACATTAATTCCAGAGAACTCTGTTATCAGCCCCAGTGAATGAAACCATATTCATGCTGACGGACCCAGATCTGCACAGAACATAAAGGTTCAGCAAAGAGAGACCATTCGACTCTTCTCTTAACAGGGAATTACAGTTACCCTGTTAGTGATAGCCTAAAACAGGGGTTCTCAATTTCTACATTAAAAGGTCCAAATCTGAATTTTTATTAAGGTCAAGTGTATGAAACAATTGATATTACATAACTTGTTTTTAATAAACATCCATAAGATGCACAGAGGCAGCATGGTGGCGCAGTGGGTAGCACAATCGCATCACAGCAGGAAGGTCACTGATTTGGCTTGTGGCAAAAAATAAACACATACTTATCAGTTCATTCAACTTTGAACTGTCTAATCTCTGCAAGTTTTCTTTTCCGTGAGGCTGACATTTTCATCCATTCAAATGATTGCTTTTCCTCAGTTTGTTAAAGCAGGCGCGCACATGCGATTTTCCAGCTTGACCATGATTAGGCCCGGCCCTAACCAATTTGGAGCCCTAGGCAAGATTTCAGGTGAATTTCAGTAATTTCCACTGCTAGTGTACATATACTCAAAATAAATGTATTAGTTTTGTCTTGGACATTCTTTCATTTTTAATAAAGCAATAGTACATTCAAAATACTCAGAAAGAAGTCTTTGCAACTGTGGGCCACGATGACATAATACGCAGCCATTATGCATCGTGAAACCTGTGTAACCCCCTTTCATGCTGAAGTGTCGGCACAGTGAGTTTTGCAAGTGGACAAAACAAAAATTAAAACAATATGATGATGATCTTATTTTATCTAAACATGCTATGAAGCAGAAAGGAGGGATGAAGAGTCAGGGAGGTAAGATTAGGCCTAAAACAGTTCACAATTCAGGTCTAAAAAGACAATTAATTCTCATTAATTTATTCATTTTCCTTTCAACTTTGTCCCTTTATTAATCAGGGGTCGCCACAGTGGAATGAACCACCAACTTATCCAGCATATGTTTTACACAGTGGATGCCTTTCCAGCTGCAACCCAATACTGAGAAACATCCATACACACTCATACACTACAGCTAATTTAGTTGATCAGTTCCCCTATAGCGCATGTGTTTGGACTGTGGGGGAATCCGGAGCACCCGGAGGAAACACATGCCAACACGGGGAGAACATGCAAACTCCACACAGAAACACCAACTGACCCAGCCGTGGCTCGAATCAGCGACCTTCTTGCTGTGAGGTCACAGTGCTACCCACTGCGCTACCGTGCAGCCCACAGATAATTCTATAAAACATGTTTTTTGTATCTTATGGAATTGTCAAATTAAATTAATATTCTTGCAAAAGACTTCTTAAATGATCTTAGTATATCACTCCAGTTGTGTCGTTGTGTTCCAGTTACATTTAGGACAAATTTCTGTTATTTATTTAGAATATTAATGTATAATAATAATAACAATAATAACAACAATAATAATACTTTTATTTATTTAAAATAAATCTAAATATTTTTATATATTTATTTATTTATTAAAAATTATTATAAATAAATGGATGGTGTGGGGGGGGGGGGGGTGGCTTTTGAGGATAGGTGATGGTCCTGGTCCTCAGTTCAGAAGACAATGATGACATCAGCATACAACTATGCATAATTCTAAATAATTTCTAAATTAAATTTTGAGATGATTTTGTTATACACATATTCTTGCACTGTCATTGACTTCATATAAATAGACTATTTTCAAATCAGAAATGTGCCATTATCAGATTGTCTCTTGCATATTCAACATGTAGGGCAGATATATACTGCTGCTCACAATCAGTAATGTTTATTCTCACACAGAAGACTCACATTGTGGACACAGGCACACTTAATCCCTCCAATGTCTCTCATCAAAATATTACCTAAAACATTCATTTTTACACAAACCTCATTCTATCTTTAAAAATATTATAATATTGCTTGAATTTGTGGACTTAGTCCAGTGATTATTCATTCTGAATATTGACTGGATTTGAATATAATTCTACATTAAATCTATTGTGCTTATATTGACTTAATATAATATGCAACTCCAAGCAACATTATTAAAAATTTTTTGCTATCCCATCATTTAATTCCTGTAATTTTACACACTATTTATACTCTCCTAACCCTCCTGATCTGGGATTATTATAGGCTACGGAAGGTGTCCGTCAGTCAGCATGCAGACTACACTGATTTAGAAGTTGTAACGATCGACGCACAGCTTTAATGGAAAGAAAGAGAATGCAGATGTTTTTATATTAATTTTAACGTGCTATCAAGCCAAAATAAAGCGAAAGCACAATTCTCTTGAACAGCTCTTGCAGTTCTATTACATTTGAGTTCGGCTGTGTTGACGGTACTTTCACTTTTCATAGAAAGATTAAACATAAGGGGGAAGTATTGGAAAATGAAACAGGATGATTGCGGGGATGTCATTACAAGAGTCACACAGGAAACTTTGAATATTACGGAGTCCGGATTTGAGAAGCCCTGGCCTAAATCAAGCGCTGAAAGCATCTTTCTCTGGCTCAGAGCCAAAGCGTGAAACTTTGAATCTGACAGTTATTAGCGGATATATTGACACCAATATAAACAACAAAACAATATCGCCAGTATGTAATAACATCCTCCCTACGAT